ATAATTTTTTTCGAATAAGAAAATTGTAGACTCTAGAAATGGAGACCGATTTACAATTTATATATCCCCTAATCCTATTGTCTAAATCTTCCTTTTCTTTCAGAAATATTAATAATATTTAGAGTTCTCTAATTTTCTTGTGAGCTACTGAAAAAAATGAAAATGTCACTCAAGCTTAAATTTTGTTATTCCTTAAAATATTGTTATTGTAATTTTGTTATTCCTTAAAAAAATTTAAAGGCAGATGTTTTCAAAATCAATATGCAAAGGACTACAGACTCACCTCCTCTTGAAGATGTTGAAAAAGAAAGACTTTATGCCCTTTCTCCACTATAGCCAACACTCAGTAAAGCAGAAAGTACAAATCCTCTCAAAACTGAGATGTAGCTTATATAATTTTATTATTTTGTCATAGTAAAATAATAAATCTCCTAAGCATAATATGTATACATATTACACATAGGTAAAAATTGTTGTTTTACATTTACATATACATAAAGAAGCATGTTTTTACACTTTTCTTGATAAGTGGTTGGGTTTTTTTTGTTCAGAAATGTCTGAAACTTTAGACAAAAATAATAAAACATTTAATATTCATTTGTGAAACTGTATAATTTTAATTTATGTATATGAACATAGCAAAAGCCTGGAACATGGAAATGGAATATGGTAAACTCTTTATTTCATTTTTGCCTTTAGCCACTTAAATACTCTTCTCAAGAGGCATGTTTTTACCAGTTACTTGTAAATCTATCCGCAATCAATTATCTGTAAAACCATATATATCATGATATAGCTATAGATATGGATGTAATGGCATCCAAAAGATGGGGCTGTTGCTTTTTCCACTCAATATACCTTCAAGATCATTCCATACTGAGACCAATACATGTAATAATACATATGTATCGAGAGATAATGAGATAACCTCTCATTATCTTCAGCTGCTCCTTATTATTTCATTCAATGGAAATACTAAATCTGTTTAACCATTTCCTTATCAATGCATGTTTAGGTTTTTATTGTTCGTTTGGATTTACATATGCACAACAGTGAATATCCTTATAAATTTGTTCATTTCACACAGGTACAATTATGTCTGTCAAATGTCTCAGCAAACGAATTTCTGGATCAAAGGGTATATGCATTTTATTATGAATAGATATTGCCTAATAGCACTTTGAAAAAATTGTGTTAGTCTACACTCCTACAGCAATGTATGAGTTCCTGTTTCCTCACACCTTCACCTACCTGGTGGATTACAAGACTTTCTTATCTTGCTGATCAAACAGGTGAAGAGTGGTATATCCTTGTAGTTTGAGCATACATTTCTTATACTTTGAGTGTGATTGAGCATCTTTTCATATGTTTAAAAGTCATTCAGATTTTTAAATTTGGACTTTGTCAATTTTTCTACTTGGTGGTGGGTATTTTTCTTATTGATTTGTAAGAACTATCTTCACAGTAGGGATATTTATCTTTTTTATGTGATATATATTACAGATATTTTCTAACAAACTTTTAAGTTTTGTTTTTATGGTGTTTTGAGTCATCTGGGATTTTTTAAAAGATTATGATTGAATTTCCTTTTGTTTATGGCTTCTATGGTCATATTTAGAGAGGACTCTCCCATGCTAAAATTATAAAATAATTTTGCTTTGTTTTCTTATAGTGATTTATATTGTTAAACCTATGATTCATCTAAAATTTATTTTGGAGTGAGAAGTAAGTTAGAAATCCTTTGTGTGTATGTGTGTGTGTGTGTGTGTGCGTGCATCTCCACATAGCCATAGCTTTGTACCAGAATTATTCATTGATAATCAGTTATTTCCTATGTCTAACCATACCACCTTTACTGCATATTAAATTCTTATTTGTAATTGAGCCTAGTTAAAAAAAGAATCTATTTATTTTTCATTGAGTGCTTCATCTTTTGTCATGCCAGATTCATGTTGTTTTTGGTAGGGCTACTTAATAATTTTATTTTTCAAAATTTTTTGTGTATTTTTTTATGCTTGATTCTCAGAATTACATTTTGTAGCCACCACTACCCCTCAAATTCTATTTATATTTTTTAGATGGGGGTTTGTGGTGATAATACAGATTAATATGGAGAGAACTGATATGTTTTTAATATTAAGTCTTTCTACCCAAGACCAAGATATGCCTTTGCATATCCTCAAGTCTCCATTGGAACCCTATACTACCATTTTAAAATTTTCTTCAAATACATCTTGCACATTCCTAGTTATATTTATTGCAGTTAGATTTATTTTTTAGCCTATCATAAATGGAGGCTTTTTCCCATTATCTTATGACTGGCTAATTTTCTATACAGCAAGACTCCTGATTTTTGGACTTCAATACTGTATTCAATATTAGAATTCTTATTTTACAAATAACCTTAAAGTTTTTTTCTGCATCAGCAAATGATCATTATGCAGGTTTTCTTTTTGTTTCTTTTTTCTTTTTCTTTTTTTTTTTGAGACAGAGTTTCACTCCTGTTGCCCAGATTGGAGTACAATGGCACGATCTCCGCTCACTGCAACCTCCGTCTCCCAGGTTCAAGCGATTCTCCTGCCTCAGCCTCCTGAGTAGCTGGGATTACAGGTGCCACACCACCATGCCTGACTAATTGTGTATTTTTAGTAGAGACTGGGTTTTGCCATGTTGGTCAGGCTGGTCTCGAACTCCCGACCTCAGGTGATCCACCTACCTCGGCCTCCCAAAGTGCAGGGATTACAGGTGTGAGCCACTGTACTTAGCCAATTTTCTTTAAAGTACATGTATATGAAGAAACAGTTTCTGGATCTCAGGTCCTTATATTCTTGATCCATCCAAAGTTTTCCTTCCTCAAAGGATTTTCTTGCCTCCTTGAAAACTTTTACTACCTTCCTCTGCCATCGTCTGTACCATTTTTTCTTTAATTTAAAAATTAGTGATTAATAAATGTTAATGGTGATAACAGTGCCTCTGAGCATCCTCTGGCAGACATTTAGAAAGAATCTTAAAGGGGACTTCCCCAAAGAATGCTTTTTGAAAATTCTAGCAGGATATTTCTCTCATTCCAAGCTGAATAATCTCGAGGCTGAGTCCTCACTGTCTCCCCTTTGTCCTTTTTGCTGTCTAAAAAAGAATATCATTCACTCTAATGGTTTCAGGTAATTCTTTCAAATTGGTATGATAAGTTTCACATTCTATGACCTTATTTTCACCTGTTTTTTTTTTTTTTTTTTAAGAGTCTCACTGTCACCTAGGCTGGAGTGCAATGGCACAATCTCAGCTCACTTGCATCCTCTGCCTCCAGGGTTCAAATGATTCTCTTGCCTCAGTCTCCTGAGTAGCTGGGATTACAGGCATGCGCCACCATGCCCGGCTAATTTTTGTATTTTTAGTAGAAATGGGATTTCACCAGGTTGCCCAAGCTGGTCTTGAACTCCTGACCTCAAGGGATCCACCTACCTTGGCCTCCCAAAGTGCTGAGATCACAGGCATGAGCCACTGTGCCCAGCCCTATTATTTAATTGTGACATCAAAATGTCCCATTGAGAGTCTACATTGATATGTTTGAAACAAAATTAACCATATTCACCATAACCACCACCACTTCTGGTCAACGCAATTCATTTAGGCCCCAATGGCTCCTTCTTAGGAATCAAGGATTTTATAATAAACAGGTAGTCAGGACTAAGGAATAGGGACAAAGACAGAAACCAGATGTATGAACTCGGCCAAAATGGAAATAAAAGAAAGAATTGAGTGAGGTTAGAAAAGGAGAACTGTAGACCAGGCACTGTGACTCACACCTGTAATTCCAGCACTTTGGGAAGTCAAGGTGGATCACAAGGTCAGAAGATCGAGATCATCCTAGCTAACACGGTGAAACCCCATCTCTACTAAAATTACAAAAAATTAGCCTGGCGTGGTGGCGGGCACCTGTAGTCCCAGCTACTCAGGAGGCTGAGGAAGGAGAATGGCATGAACCTGGGAGGTGGAGCTTGCAGTGAGCTGAGATCGTACCACTGTACTCCAGCCTGAGCGACACAGCAAGACTCCATCTCAAAACAACAACAACAACAACAACAAAAAACCAAGGAACTATAATTCAGGAGTAACAGAATTATATTCCACCTGGGGTTATCTGGTTCTAAGTATGGTTGGTAGCAAAATGGGTTGAGGACCACACAAAGCATTCATTTCCACTACTGGACCTTGGATACAGTTCTTAGGTCCATTGACCCTGTTCTTAAATTCATTGGCAAATGGGGCTTGGTTAGGACAAGATTAGCCAGATTAGAAAACTGGAGTGAGATGAAGCTCGCAGGCCAATGGCATGTGTAGATACTTGAGAGACCAGAAAAAGGTAAGAACAGAGGGTAGGGGAGAGAAGGGAAGACCAACACCAGAAGACACAGCCCAATATGTTCCTTTATCTGACTGCTACATCTAAAGTTCTCCTTACTACTATTTGATTCTCTCTACCTATTTTTCTCTCTTATACATAGACTTCTTTTTAATAATACTCAATGTATGATTTTTTCATGTAAAAATGTTATCTAAATTTATCTTCACAATACTCAGGTATGAAAAGGCAGATACTTTTATTCCTATTTCACACATGAGGAAACAGACAAGAATGTGAGTAATGTTTCAATGTAGTTAATAAGTGGTAGAACAAAGCATAGAATCTAGGCTCCCTGATTGTACCTCAAAGTTCCTGCCATTAGACCCACTGTACCACTCCATAATATAGGCAAAATTGATGGCTAACAATATAACAAGGGTCACCCTCTCTAAAATATTGCCTCTTCCCTTCCCAAAAAACTATGTCTCTGCATGACTGTAAGCATGTTAGTTACCAACTGCCAAGTGACCTTGGTTTTAAAACTGGGCAGATGAGTTAATCTCACTGGCTTTCTATTCTTATTTAGCTTGTTGCTGTAAGAGGTTTAGAGTAGCTTTCTGAGGGCATATGTTAGCCTTCAGTTTTAGTGAGGAGTAAGGGACTAAATCCAGCGAAAACTTAGTGAAAACAACCTGAGGAAAAGCTGTAGACTGTGAGTCAAGATGGGGAATGGCAAATCTATAGCTGGTGATCAGAGAGCAGTTCCTACACAAGGGACCCATGTGTGGTACAGAACATTTATGACGGAATATCCATCCGGCCTGCAAACACTACATGAATTTAAGACGCTTTTGGGTCTGCAAGGTCTGAATCAGAAGGCCAATAAACATGTTGATCAAGTTTATAATACCTTTGACACGAACAAGGTAAGGTCTTTTACTTTTCATTTCATTGGAAAATGCTACGGTTCTGCGCTCTTTCCTTTTTTTCCCTATAAAATAGCCTTAAGTAAAATGTGTGCATCCCACTGAATAGAGAGGTCTTCAGACAACTCACAGCTTGTAGGTAAGTGAGTCATTAAACACTTTTAGTACTGACGGCATGAAAATAATTGGGAACTAGCCTCTCCCACCCTAGGAAGTGTTCTGCATGTAGGGGGTTATTTTAAAACCAAATTAAATCTCGGCATGGAACTCTAATGCTATCATTTAAATAAATCTAATAAGTACAGATTGATTTACAAAGACTGTTTTCGAAGTATTTAATGCATTGGTGACATTTTATAGAAAAGCGAATTACAGGACTCTGCTTTTAAAAGTGATTGCATCTAGATTGGCAGATATAATCAATACAAATTAGCCAACATGTTGTCTGTACTCAAAAGTTAGAATGCTTCATATTACTTTTTTCCCCATAGTTGACTAATTTAGTTTGGGGAAAATGGAAACTTAACAGTTTTAAATTCAGACAAATTTTTGTTTCTAAAGATGGTTACTCAACTATTGTCTTGAATTTACTCATTTCTGAGGAGCCGTAGTGCATTTAATTTCATTTCTTGAAAAAATAGAGAAGAGAAAAGAAGATATGGAATTGAAAAAAAAAAAGAGAGAGAGACAAAAAAGCAACAACCTGAAATATCAGGCTCAGGTTCTGCCTGCTTTTACTTGTTTATTTTGGTTATTTTACTGTGGATTTGTATATTTCAAAATGTGTAGATGTTGATTCGAATAAAAAGGAACAGAGAAAATGCTAATAGAAAAGAAATGACTTTAGAAGGCCATCCAATTGATAATAGAAGAGAAAGAAGGGGAAGTAAATTGAATAAAAATTTTAAAAAACTGGTTGTTCGATAGGATGTTTAGAATTTAGCACAATCCTTTAAACCAAGAAGCAGGTGACTTAAAAGGAGATATCAGGCAGGAACTTGGGAAAATTAAACCTGTGCAAAATTAACAGCTATTTTAATCCTTGTAGCAATGTCAGGAACAGATTTCTTTAGGACATTATGGTATGGTCTTCTGTGCTTTGTTACCAAACATAGTTAAGCACTGCCTGTTTAGCATGACAGTGCTTTCCTCCTCATAAATTTTACTTAGTGTCGATGCAAGCAAAAGGCAATCTTCAAGGAGCTGACAAATCAATGGGAAAATGTGGCAGATTCCGCTTTTGTTATTAATCCTGAAATGTGTTCCAGATACTATAAGCATGCTGCCATGTTGTCTTTATTTGCCTCTGCCTGTGTATGTGTCTCTCAGCTCTCAATCTCACTTCTCTCTTTATTTCGCTCTGTCATTCTCTGCTTCACTCTTTGTATGGCTGCTATAAGCAGCCCAATATCAAGATGAAAGTCTGTTGCTCTAGACAGCAGCTTCTTAGGCTCGGAGTACTCCTGAGAAGTTAGAAAATGAGCTATCATCGAGTTTTACAGTTATTCTCCAAAGGTGTTGATGTCATATCCCATGCCAGCAGTTTGGTTGCCAGCCCAGTATTTGTGAACATTGTACATGTCAGGGGTTCACATGCAAGAACAGGAACACGCGGAAAGGAGTGCTAGGTGGAAGCAAGGATCTGCTGCCAGATGAAGCAAACTGGCAAGGAAGCAGGGGCAATGTCCAGACAGGTGTGTGTGTCCTCAGTGTGAGAGCCCTCTCAGTGTCCACCACAGGAATGGCGTGACCCATCCCGGGAGCTTAATTTAGATGGCTTGGAAGTTCTGCTGCTGTTCCTCAAAGACATTTTATGTTTGCTTAGGAAGGAAGTGAGCCGAAGCAGTAATGACAAATGCCACAAAAGGTGTGGGGAATCTCAACATAAAATCAGGTGGTAAAATGACAAGAGTAAGGATTGTTCATTATCAAGTGATACTAAGAAATGATGTGCCATTATGCACAGAAAAAGTCATATATTTAATTAGATGAATTGATAAAACTAGCATCTGTCCAGAATCCCCAAAGATTTACTGTTTCTATTCAACTTCTCTGCAGTTTTCTTTTTTCTTTGTGTTTTTATAAGTTCGACTTTATTTTTTAAATTTTATTTTTAAAATGAATTTTGTGTATGTCTAAGGTATACAACATGATGTTATGGGATACATATGGAGAGGAAAAAATGTTACTGTACTGAAGCAAATTAACATATCCATCATCTCACAGAGTTACCCATTTTTTTTGGTCTTTGTGGCAAGAGCAGTAAAATCTACTCATTTAGCATGAGTTGCATATAAGTACAATTTTGTTACTGTAGTCCTCGTGATGTGTAATGAATCTCCAGACTTGTTCCTCCTACATATCTGCTACTTTTATCCTCTGACCTACATCTCCCCATTTCCTCTTCTCCCACCCTACTCCTCGTAACCACTCTATTTGATTTTTTTTAGATTACATATGTAAATGAGATCATGCAATATTTTTCTTTTTCTTTTATGTGCTATAGATGGAAATTATTTTAAAATGCATGTCATACTTTTCTACCTCCTCAAAGTGCTGGTAAAGCACTTTCTTGATATATCAGGGTCATTATCATGAACAGCAGTTGTTACATTCTGTGTAATACCGTGGGACACCTATTCCCATTGAAGTTTCTGGAGCTGTTTCCTAATGTTTAAAAACCCTGAAAATTGGTGCTTTTATCATTGTGTTTGCTTTTTCTTGTTGTTCTGTCTTTTCTCCTGCTGTCAAACTCACATTTCACAGCTTTCTTATTGTTATAATATTCATGAGCTTTTGATTTTTGATGTGCCGTTTCTAACCTGGCTTTGGATTGTATTCAAGCTAAGCAACCCTATTAGGATAGTACTTAAAATAAAAGTAAATACATTCTGAGATTTAGAGCATAAAATTTATAATAATATTTTTTAGCTAATCACACAGTATGGTGGGTTTCTCCTTGGCATTCAATAACAATAACACTTTCTGAGTTAAGGATGTGGGGAAAAGAGAGACCTTACACACTGTTGGTGGGAATGTAAACTAGTACAGCTATTATGGAAAACAGTGTGCAGGTTCCTCACAAAATTAAAAATAGAACTACCATAGGAACCAGAAATCTCACTTCTGGGTATATATCCAAAGGAAATGAAATCAATACGTTGAAAGGTTATCTGCACTCCCATGTTTGTTGCAGCACTATTCACAACCGGCAAAATATGGCATCAACCCAAGTATTATCCATCAGCAAATAGATGGATTAAGAAACTGTGCTGTGTATATGCAATGGAATACTATTCAGCCTTAAAAAACAAGGAAATCCTGTCATTTCCACAACATAGATGAACCTGGAGGACATTATGCTTGGTGAAATAAGCCAGACACAGAAAGACAAGTAAGGCGTAATCAACCTCACTGATAACGTGAAGCCTAAGAAAGTCAAGCTCGTAGAAGCAAACAGTAGAATGGTTGTTGCCAAGGACTGGGGTTGATGGGGCAGAGGAGTAATAGGGAGATGTTTGTCAAAGGGTAGAAAATTTTAGTTATGCAAGATGAGTAAGTTCTGGGCATCTTGTACAGCATGGTGACTACAGTTAATAAAATATTTCATACTTGAAAATTGCTAAGAAAATCTTAGATGTTCTCACCACAAAAAAGATAAGTATGTGATAAGGTGATGGATATGGTAATTAGCTTCATTTAATCATTTCACATTGTATACACATATAAAAATAACATATTGTATACCATAAATATATATAATTTTTGTCAACTATTCTTTAATAAAGCTGGGAAACAAAACCCACTTTTTGAGTGGTTATGATGTGCCTGACACTGTTCTAGGTGCACTGAATAGATGAACACATTCAACCATCACAATGGTAATGGAACCTATTTTATAGTAATGTCCATGGCCTTGGCACCTCAGACCTTTGGGTCTTTAGAATTCAAATTATGCTTGCCCTGAGTCCATGCTGCCTGGGCTTAAGACTACTGCCAATGATTGAGTGCAACAAAAGTACTAAGGCTGGGTTATTCCTAACAGACAGGAGAGTCCTCTGTCTACAGGCTTTGGCTCAGGGATTCCCTGGCAGCTTTGCTGGACCTTGGGTTGCAGGAATGCTTAGGACACTTCTACCAACCTTCCCTCCCTCTCTTCTTCACCTGGATCAGATTAACATCATGGTCTGACAGCTGACTCAGCTGTTACAGACTCCCTCCCCATTTCCTTCCACACATGCATTTCTCCAAGTAAAATACTTAAATTGAGTTGAATAGGTCTACTATCCTATTAATAAGACTCTCAGAAAAAGAGGCCAGAGAAAATAGAAGATTATGACAAAAGAAATCAGAAAAAATGGCCACTGCGGTGGCTCATGCCTGTAATCCCAGCACTTTGGGAGGTCGAGGCAGGCAAATCACTTGAGGTCAGGGGTTCAAGACCAGCCTGGCCAACATGATGAAACCCCATCTCTATTAAAAACACAAAAATTAGCTGGGTGTGGTTGGTTGCACCTGTAATCCCAGCTGCTTGGGAGGGTGAGGCAGGAGAATTGCTTGAACCTGGGAGGTGGAGGTCACAGTGAGTAGAGATTGCACCCTTGTACTCCAGCCTGGGTGACAGAGTGAGACTCTGTCTCAGGAAAAAATTTTAAAAAAAAGGAAAAACCAGAAAAATTTCCCAGATCTATTAGACACAACTTTCACAAGGCCCAGCACAATGTGCAGAAAGACATCAACATACAGCATGTTCTGAGAAATTTTATAAGAAGGGTAAAGAGAAAATCCTAAAGTCTTCAAGAAAGGAAAGAAAACAGAAATAGAAACCAAAATAGCATTGAGTTTCTTAACACCAACACCAGAAGCTAAAAGTGGAAAAAAAAAAAAAAAAACCTTCCAAAATTCTGAGAGGAAATTACCGAGCCAAATCAAACATGAAGAGAGAATAAAGACATGCAAAGACTAGAAAATTTATTTCACACTTACTTTTTTTTAAGGAA